TAATTCTTTACAAGATTCTAAGAGATAGATGCTGTCATCAACCCTATTTTACAGATGAGGAAACTGAACAACGGAGCAGTTCAGTAATTCCCCAAGGTCACATAGCAGAACCAGACTCAAACCTCCACAGTTTGGCTCTGGATCCTGTGTGCTTAGTTACCACACTGTGCTGCTCTCCAGGCAGATAGTTACTGAATGAACTCAAACAAATTCGGTAGATAAGGATAGAAAATTTAATGCCATAACTTAGAAAGTAAAGGCCATCAAGGACTCTTTTCCACTGCAACCTACTTAAATATTTTTGTGAAGATATCATTTTCAACTTTGCTAGCTATTTAAATACATACCCAAATAATTGCACATAAGCCCAGACTACCAATTCACTGTATTAGGATCTATAACCCACAGTTTACCAAAAAAGCATGCTGAAGTCTCATTTAAATATTAGGATTTTTAAGGAAAAAAATTAGTATGTAAGACAAAAATTTTAAATGTTCACCTCATCTTAATTGCATGGTTTTTTTGTTTTTTATTTTTTTTAAAGATTTTTATTGGGGAATTGGGGGAGGGGAACAGGCAAGTTGCTGTCCTTTTGTTCTTCAGTCTAGTTGTAGAGGATGTCACTTCACTGGCCCATGTTGATATTGTGATCACTGCGCTCTTCCCGGCTGAGGCAGTCGATCGCCGGCCCTTGGATGGTCGCTCATGGTAGCTTACGGCAGCTCACTGCAGCCCCACTGCAGCCTACGCCATCGCCGGCCACTCACGGCAGCCCAGCTCCAGGTCGAGCTGTTGTTCACCATCTTAGCTGTAGAGGGCGCAGCGTCACTGGCCCATGTGGGATTTGAACCGGGGCTCTGCTGCTCAGAGCTCGTGCTTGCAGCCAGCTCTTAACCAATGAGCCACTCGGCCGGCCCTCACATGTTATATTTTTAATGTACACGATGTAATGCAATGCATATAATTTTAAAACACGCATATATTAGGGATATACATGTATTCTTAAGTGATCTTATTGATGCGTATATGATAAATATTTGTGGAGGGGATGTTTTTTAAGATGTAGAGAAAAAGCCATTAGAGAAAGCAAGGATAGGTCATTGTGTTCAATAAGGAATTGAAAAATCGATGCTCTGACCTTGAGGAGGGCGGCATTTTAAAAAATTTGTTTTCCCTTATTTTAAACCTGTCATACCTTTGATTTTCAGAACCAGCTGACAAAAACACATGATAAGTTTCAACCCTAAAGAATGTCTTTTTTAGAAAATGAGCATTCAGAAATAAGAGTTTGGAGGAAATCATCCCAGACATTTTTTTGCATGAAAGCTATATACTTGAAGGATATAATTTTAGGTTTTAGGAACTTGAATGAAAGTTACTATTAAAAATCAAGAAGGGCTGGCCGAGTGACTTGTTGGTTAAAAGTTGGCTTGGGAGCATGGGCTCTGAGCAGCAGAACCGCCGGTTCGGATCCCATATGGGCCAATAATGCTGCGCTCTCTACAGCTAGGATGGTGAACAATAGCTTGACCTGGAACTGGGCTGCCTTGAGTGGCCGGCGACGGCGTAGGCTGCAGTGGGGCTGCAGTGGGCTGCCGGAAGCTACCATGAATGGCTGGCAGCCAGCATGAGTGGTTGGCAGCCGGCATGAGCTGCCAAGAGCCGTTGTGAGCAGCCGTCCAATGGCTGGTGACCGACTTCCTCAGCCAGGAAGAGCGCAGTGATCACAATACCAACATGGGCCAGTGAAGCGACGTCCTCCACAACTAGACTGAAGAACAAAAGGATAGCAACTTGTCTGTTCCCCTTCCCTGATTCCCCAATGCTGTTCCCTCCCCCAATTCCCCAATAAAATCTTTGAAAAATATATATGTATATATATCAAGGAAAATGAAGGAAAATTTCAAACTTATGAATCAGATTGGAAGTTAGCTTCTTTGAAGAAATAATAGTAGGCTCAACCTTTAGTGTTTCTTTAATGGGGTTGGTGAACTTAAGTAAAAGACCATAACCGAAGACCTCAAAGAATTGATTATAATGTTACCTGTTGCTTTTCATTCAGAAGATGAGCAAGAGGCTGACTTCCAGCTTTCTGTACAAAATATAGACTCCCTCTAGTTCCTTGGCCTGTCCCATTTGCTTCTTGTACTTTTTATAATTAGGTCATACTTCATTATCATAAATTTTTCTAATATACTGTGAGATACTATCTTTTGTTTTTATCTACCTACTGTGTGGAAGTTGTTAGAGTGCCCTGTTGCTTATTTTTTAATAAAAATGTCCAAATTGTGGAGATCATATCTTCTCTTCAATTGACAGAGCCATAATTTGTTGGTCATTAGAGTCTCTAGACTGGTACAAATACTAGTATTGGGTTGTCAGAAAAGTCATGACATATTTTTTCTATGTTTTTCATTGCAAAAATGCGTCATGACTTTTCCAACAACCCAATATTTTCAGACTAATTAATACTGAATCATTGGTAAGCTAACCTTAGTAATCATGTAGATTCTACTGCAGGTGTCCTTAGCCACTGGATAAGCTTTATTGAGGTATATCCATAGTTATATTTATGATCAATAATATTAATGCATCATTACTATATACTCCATCCAGCATTTCTCTGGAAAGCCTTTATAGCATCTTTCTTTATGAAATCAGTTCTTGGCTCTTATTAGCAATGTGAATGGGGAGGTTATACATCCTCACTGGGCCTCATGCCCATTCCTTTTTTGTGATATTGTTTAATTTGTTCCTCTGTTCCCTGAATATCTTGTAAATTGGTAATTAGATCTAGATACTTGATAAAAGCTTAGTGGTTTTGTTTTGTTTTGTGAGACAAGAATACTTCATAGGAAGTGCTGTATATTTCTTGGTGCATGACATCACGAGACATAAAAGTTTGGTTGTTCATTTTTAATGATGCTGCAATGCATTGGGGGTGCAGGTCTGAGCCCTCCAATTTAACGTTCCTTATCAATCTTTAACCCAATACTTTTAAAATCTATTGATAATTTTTGCCCAATCCATTATCACAACCATTTCTTCTGAATTTATTAGCTGGAGTTACTCTATCAACAGGAACGTCCTTCATCACTGTTTAGTGCCCCCTGAAATAAGGTTCTCATAAGAAAGGCAAGAGAAACTTGCTTTCCTTTTATATACAGTTTGCAACCTCCATTGGAGACTAATGAAGGGTTTTTTTTATGTTATTATTAAGTCATAGCTTTTTGTGTAGCTGATGTGCTTTTTATTCATTGTAGTAATTCTTTTTGATGAAAGTTGGCTTTTGTATCCCCACTAAAAGATGCTCTAGGCCAATCTTGTACATCGTACATTTCCTGTCCCAGACCGTGCGTAGCCCGGGGGAAAACGGTTTTTAGTGGGCACAGTCGGTGTGGGGGAGGCTTATTGCTGCTGGACCTTTCCAGTGGACAGAACTTGAACACACACATACACATTTACAAAAAGGCATAAGTTTATACTGATATTTCTAATTCTAATTTAAGTTCACAGGGCTTTTACTCTTTGATTTGTATTATTGTCTTTTTTCTTGTACATTAATAAATTAGATTCCTATATTAACATAATTCCTTGCTTGCTTTGTCCTACACTATATCTGTACTAGTTTCAAAATAACAATATCAATAGGTTAATTTTAACGATGTGACTACTAAATGCTATTTAAGATTTCTTTGTTGTTCTTTTTATTCTCAGATTGTATTTCAGGAGGCATGTATAATAGGAATTCTGTGTTTTAAAGTCGCTTGAAGTAATTCTTTTATGTTTGTAGTTCTACCACCAACTGGATTTACATTTAGGTTTCATTTATTTCTATTTGTTTTCAGTTTTAGGAATTTCTTTTTTTAATAATTTTTAAAACTTTTTAAACTTTTTACAACAATGTACATTCACAGGAATCTCACTTTCATTTCTCTCCACTTTTCCATCTTTCTCTATAAATATTTTGATTTGCTTTAAATTTATTCCTTTTAGTTTTTAAATATAAGGAAACATATGCATCTGTGGACATACATTTGATATTGTCTATTGTGAAACACTCTTCTTTGCCTAGCCTTTTTATGTTAATATATGTGTGATGTCACCACATAGCACTACTATGAGAATTGTCCTCATTCATTTTTTACAGTATCAGAGTACTCCCCAAATCCTCATTCATTCACTTTTGGGTGTTTTATCAGCTGACTTTGGGAGCCAGTATCTGTTAGTGGGAAGGGAAAAGGAATGCAATCAATATTTGTCAAACTATGTGTCATTTTCTTTGTAAGGCAGGATTATTTTTCCCCATTATTAAAGGGGAGGAAATTGAAGTTCACTGACGTGTAGTGACATATTCCAGGTGACATGGCCAATAAGAGATAGATCCATAGTTTAGGTTATAAATATGTAGCTGAAGTTCATGTCTCTGATATAGCAAGAATAACTGACCTAGATTTCAGTGGTTGTTAGGCTGTCACATTGATGATTTTTAATGTAACATTTCAGAGGATTTTGTTTTTCCTTGTTTTTTGTTTTTATTTTTTGGATGGCACTTAAGAACCTGATAGAAAACCTCACTTTTATGTTTTTTAAAATAATTACATTTTTAAATGTACGATATATAAACTGCTTGGTATTACAACCAATACTATAATAATGGGAATTTAAAAAGAAAAAAATTATCCAGAATCTGAAACCTTAAGTAATCTTGCTATTCAAACTGTATAGTTCTTTAAATCAGTTTTCAGAAAGGCCAAATTTATTACATATATTTTCCTTCAATTTTAACTTGAAACGGATTCCTAGAGCATCCAATTAATGTTAAAATGGCAGTTTGCAGTCAGAATAATTATTTCTACTCTCAGGTACCTTTCAATTTATGACAATCATAAATTCCCTGTCTTCTCTTTCTGTTCTCTCAACTATACACATGGAAATTTTCTGTTTTGAAAATGTGTTGCCCTAAATTTAACCCCCCCCCTTTTTTTTTTCTATTCTAGTTTGGGAATACCTGCTACTGCAATTCAGTTCTTCAAGCACTTTATTTTTGTCGTCCATTTCGGGAAAAAGTTCTAGCATACAAGAGTCAACCTAGGAAGAAGGAGAACCTCCTTACATGCTTAGCAGATCTGTTTCATAGCATAGCCACTCAGAAGAAAAAGGTTGGAGTAATACCTCCCAAGAAGTTCATAACAAGATTACGGAAAGAAAATGGTAATCCTTCTACTTCTTAATGTATTGCTTACCTAACAGGAAGGTTGAATATAGCATACTACAGTTCAGCAAGCAGTGCCTGAACATCTTCTTTATGCCATTGCAATACCAAAGGTGATGTTACAACCTTTAAGGAAGTGCTAGTTTAGTGAGGAAGTAGTCAAACAGTACTTAACATGAGCAGCGGTTAATGTTTGAAATGTGTTATATAAAATCAAATCCTGTATGCCAGGAAACGAGAAATCATCATTTCTCTTTTTTTGCATGCTTAGCTGTTCTATCCAGAATGAAGTTGTTTTCATGATTTTCCATTTGTTGTTTTCATAATGCTTTTATGTATTTAACTCATTTGAGCCTTACAATAACCTGATGTAGAGAGCATGTTATTTCCCTATTTTAACCATGAAAGAAACAAGCTAAAAAGCTTTGCCAGGAGTCACATGCCAGGGAAAGAAAACAGCCAGAAAAATAAATCAAACTTTCTGGCTTAGGGTAGGTAGTTTTAGTCCCTCTCACCACTTTTAAAAATACTGATTAAACCTCACTTAGCTTTTCTCTCTTAAAATATTTTTGATTCTTTACAGCAAGCCCATAAGTTAGACATTATTTTACTTTTCATGAGATAATTGAACCTCAGAGTAGTGAAGATAACTTGCCCGGGTCCCATACTTCTCCCTGACATCTAAACCCAGTGTTCTGTGTAGCATGGTGTGCTGCCTCAAAAAACTCAAATGGGATTTAAGTAACATGTACAATAGAATTCTAGGCATTTCCATCATTGTAGAAGTAAAACTGAGTGGTATTTTTAGTTGGATTTGTTACCTATTAAAGAGAAAGATCCCCACAGAAATAAAATTTGAGAAATCTTTAAGGTTGGTTATTAACACATTGTGGACTGTGACGCAGATTTGTGTCTATGTCTTTAAATGCCCCGTCCTCAGTGTGTTAAATCCTGCCCTTGACTCAGGTGACACTGTTCATTATCACATGAATTGAGAAAAGCCTGGGTCATACCTAGTTTTCTAAACCAGAAGAAGATTCTGAAATAATATGGTTATAGGCTATCGCATATGATACACGTGTTAAAGAGTTTGTTCATTTTCTCCATATGCAAATATAGAGCAGTTGATTTTTTGCTCACAAAAATTCATCTTTTTTGTGTTTCCCTGATGAAAGCTAAACATGTTTACTTTCTTAGATTACAGATCAGTAGAGTATCTTCTATTTTTAAGAAAGCCAAATATCACTCCGTTAGAATGTGGACTGAGTGATTCAAGTCTTTGCGGCATTTTCGTCTGTATTGGTATACAGCTTTAACAATTTCATCCTGGTAGAAAATTCATGCACATGACAATTGATCATGCCATCCTTTCCCAGTGATTTTGTTAGTCTTTTAGAGAGGTTCAACACCAAAAGCATGAAACTCACACAGAACACACAGTATTTTCTTTTTCATTTAACAGTACATTTTTCTTGACCTTATTGTTTAATATATTGCATGTACTCTGTCTTAGTTGGGATGCTATATAACAAAAACACTCCAGGTGGTTTATACAATAAAACAGTGATTTCTTACTCGAGGTTGGGGAGTCCAAGATTAAGGTGCCGGAAGATATTCCATGTCTGATGAGAGCCTCCTCTTCCTGGATTGCAGACAGCTGGTCACCTTCTTGCTGTATTGTCTTGTGGTGGAGAGAGAAAGAGAAGCAAGCTTTCGTGTCTCTCCTAAGGGCACTAATCTCAGCCCTCAAGACCAGATGACCTTCCAAAGGTCCCATTTCCAAATAGCATCACACCGTGGATTAAGATTTCAGCGTATGAAGGGGGCAGGCACATGCATGCTCCATAACATGACCTTTCAGTGTGCACTATGTTTTTAAAATGTATTTTGACTCATGATGAACACAGAGTTCATTACTGTGTTTTGAAAGTTCTCTGTGGTTAAATACCTATGACTTTGTATGTTTGCTTGTCAGAAGCTGAGATAAATAACAGTGTTTATAATTTTTAATTGTTTAATATTTTCTCAATTCGTGTGTGTGTGTGTAGGCAGAGTAAACTGATGCACAATACACTTCTTAATACTTTGTTGAATGAGGGTGATTCCAGAATGAATGTTTCAGACCCATCTTTTCATAATAAGTTTTATTTCATTTTTCTATACTTTCAGAAACAATATTTAATAGAAAAGCATTTTAATTATTTTGATGTTGCTGGCATTTATAGGTGTGTTTTGAAATATATTTTTGGCTTTTGAATTTCTCCCTGATAGTTATACAGAGAAGAGCATACAAATCAAAGAGGATTTAAGAGGTTATTCACTGTATAACTCACCTGAGATTTTGTTTGCTGGTTTCTTTTAAATCTCTGGAAAATAGTTTGCCTGTTGCAGTATTTCACTAATTTTCGCTGTTGGACTGTTCTTAAATCAGTTTCTTTCCATGTTATGTTAAAGCCTTCATGTTTTATATTCTCAGTAGATATTAGCTCCATATTTTTAATTACTATTGCTTTATATAACTAATCATTTTGGTATCTCTTGGAAAAAATATTTTCATTTCAGTAATGAATTTTTGTTTTTAAATTTTTCACTTGTGTTAGTCACAGCATAAGAGACTATGGTCCAGTGCTGCTACGTACAGTGATCACACACACTCCATAAATGTTATCTGTGATGGTGGGCCACTAGCTGAATGTTTGAATGAATTATTATATATTTAGTTCCTCCTGGGTGCCAGGCACTGTGCAGAACTAGGGATATAGAAATAAGACAAAAGCCTCTCCCTTCAGGGAGCTGACATTCTAGTGAGGAAGACAAACAATAAACAATTATGTAATATACTGTGTCATAGCTATGATGAACAACAGTAAATCAGGAAAAGGTGGCTAGAGAATGAGGGAGTTGATAAGTGACGTTAGATGAGAGATTTGAAGTGAGAACCAAGCCATTTGAAGATCTGAGGCCAAAATATTCTAAGCAGATATAACAGAAATTGCAGTTGCCCTGAGTGCTTGAAGGGCAAGGGCAGCAAGAAAGTTAGTGTGGCTAGAGTGGGGTCAGATGAAGATAAAATTAGAGAGAATGGCAGGCTCTAGAGCAGCGGTTCTCAACCTGTGGGTCGCGACCCCTTTGGGGGTCGAACGACCCTTTCACAGGAGTCGCCTAAGACCATCGGAAAACAAAAAGATATTTACATTACGATTCATAACAGTAGCAAAATTACAGTTATAGAGTAGCAACGAAAATAATTTTATGGTTTGGGGTCACCACAACATGAGGAACTGTATTAAGGGGTCGCAGCATTAGGAAGGTTGAGAACTGCTGCTCTAGAGCTTGAGTTTTATTGTGAAAGTTCCGGGAAGCCATTGGAGGGCTGTGAGCAGATAGGCAGGTGATGTGCTCTGATGTGCATTAAGGAAAGACCCCTGGGCTGCTGGGTGGCTGGCCATGGAGCTGAGTGGGATGGGCAGGGAGAGCAGCCAGGAAAGTGTTGCAGTGATCTAGGTAAGAAGAAAGGAAGTAATGTGCTTAAAATGACTGCCTCTAGGCTATCTGTTATTTTGGAAGAAGCACACAGGTTGGAGATGTAATTATGTTAGCTAGAGTTGACTCAGCTGGAGATCTTGGGGTCATTTCAGGTGGGCTGCAGCCTCAGATCAGCTGGCCTCTGCAGCTCTGTGCTCCGACACATTAAATCTTAGCAATGTACGTAGTTCAAATTGTTGTTTTGGGCCATATTTACTCTTTTCATGTGATCTTAGCTGTTTCAATCCCTACTGTTCCTCTGTTGCTTCGTTTGTTCGTTCATTCATTTATTCATTCATTCAAAATATGTCAAGTCCATCTACTGTGTGACAGGCACTGTTCTAAGTGCTGGGGAAACAGCCGTGAATGACATAGAAAGGGTCCTTGTTCTGAAGGCAGCTGTATGCACATAGCAGTGTTTCAGGTGCTGTGGAGAGAAATAAATGTAAATATATATTTAGGTGTTAGTCTTCTTCAAGTGAGGAGACGTTAGTTGTTCACAAATAATACTTATTAAATGGATTTGAGGAATTTCCTATATTTATTTCAGTCTTTTTCCTCCAAAGGAGCATGAACGATATTTTGTATAATGAAAGCTATAGCTATTTCTGAATTATGAAGAAAATATATCTGATTTTTACACAGTGATTTAGTTTTCATATTTTTTTACAGTAATGTTGCAGCTATATCAGGACTGTAATAGTTTCTACATTTCATATACATTTATTTAATAATGTAATTGTCTGTCTCTCCCACTAGACTGTCGGTTCCATGATGGAGGCAACCCATTTGTTTTTGCTCACCATTATACAATAATCCAGCATATAATTCAGTTCCTGGCACATAGTAGGTGCTTACTAAATATTTGTTGAACGAGTGAATGAATGAATGAATTTAATTTTCCAAAGCAAGTTTGAAGTACACCTTTTCCATTATGCTGCTTACAGTGGAGAAAGCAAACCATAAGAAAACCAAGATTTAAAAAACTAAACTTAATACAGCTTACAGGGATTGTCCTACGGCCATTTAGTTGATGTAGTTTTGGTGTTTGTGCAGCCCTGGTTGCTGTTTTTAAAGCTGTCGTGGCTGCTCTTCGACAGGCAAGATTCTGGCACATTCAGCCTACTATATTTATAGAAGATACACCGTATATTATTTTAAATATTTCAACAAAATACTTAAAGAGTATTTTCTGGTTTCTTTTGCATCTCATTTCTGGCACTTTCAAGTCAGTTGAAGTATTTCTGTGAATATGAAGTCATTGTTCTCTATTGAAAGATCATCCAAAAAAAGATGTTTCAAGTTCTTAAGAAACAAAAACATTGGCACAGTTTTACTTTACATAAAAAGTAATTATTCAGAAAACATGCATATATGCTAAAATATTTTTTTTTACCAGGGTAAAATGAGACACTTTAGACTGTGACATTGAGCCATCATGTAGGTAAATATCCAGTATAGTGAATTATTCAGCTCCCACCTTAACTAGGCAGTGTTTATAAAAATCTTTTTACTTACTGGTCCTCTTGCATAATCCTTCGTTTTAGAGTCTCTGTGACTTTTCTTAATTTGTTTCCACTTTCCTTAAGCCCCCTAATCAACTCTAGCATGACTTCCTTCCAGTCCTTGTCTTAATGGACCGCTTGAGGTGGGTGGTTGCAGATAGGTGAGTTGGGGTGGGAGAATGAATGAGAGAGGAAAGCTCTTGATTTTTAAGGGGTTCACGTGCACATAAGGAAGCTGCCTAGACACTGAAAGTGTGGTTAGTGCAGGAGTTGGGGTGGACAGAGAAACCAGGAGCCAGTCATGAGTGGGTGCGTGGGGCAGGTGACTGCAAAGATAGGAGGGTTAAGGGTAATATGGCCAGATCTTAAGAACTGTTTTGATTGAGGGTGAGTTTTTATATGTGAGTGGAAGTGTGATGGTTTAGAAGTGGCAGGAGGCAGCTAGAAAATGCCAAAGGTTGAAGAGATAGGGAGTTTTGGACAGAGACCGGTTCCTAGAAGGAACAACAGAAAGGGTGAGGAGAGAAGCAGGTCCCCTGGATGGGGAAAGAAAGAGGGTACAGTGACCCAGTGAGAGTAGTAGAGGACAGGAGACTGGGGTTGAGGGGTGGGGTGTAGTTCAGGGGTGGAGGATTATTGCATTGAGAGGCGAGGTTAAAGTAACTGACTTCTGTTATCTCAGCCTTGGCCTAGCTGATCCAATGGCAGGACCATTTGAGGGTTCCAGGCACGACTTGGCTTGGTCGCAGAGAGAAGGGTGGGCAGCCAGGATGTGTGCAGAGGTGCAGGCTGTCTCGGTGTCAGGAGTAGTGCAGTGACTTCTGCTGTGAGCAAGGGGTGGTTCATGTTGTCACAGTGCTTTTGATTTACTATTCCTCATGGGCAAAAACCAGTGGACACACCGTGGACCACATTAAAGGTCCGTTAGATGTTAAGTCCAAGTAGGCTCAGGCAGTAACTCATAGAATTCAGGGCTTTTACTGTTCTTAAAAGTAACATCAGGAGTTTTTTTAAGGCTAATCAAATCCCTTAGGACAGATTTACAGCAGAGAAATCAAGTCTGGCTCCAACTGCATTTTAAATATGACTGTGTTTGATTTGAGATCTAACAGAGAGGTTAATAAGTTATATTATTACTTAATAAGTAAATTGCCTGTGACGTGTATGATTAGAGGTAGACCCATAACATGAATCCAGACAGCCTTGCTCTAGCAGCTGCACCTTAAATGTCATACTTTTTTAAGGTCTTTTTGATACCAACATTAAACTAATGCTTTGTTTTCTCTTAATACACCGCCTGAAGAAACATTTTCACTTGTTTCCATTTTATTTTTACAATAACCTTGCAAAAGGAAGATGGCATTTCATTTTACAGATAGGAAAATCAAGACTTTTGATTACCGTGGGGTTGAATGTTTTTTCATGTTTCTTAATCCTTTTAATTTTGTTTCTATAAATAGTTGATTTCTAGTCCTTTGTCCATTTTGAGTTTTCTTTCGTTTAAGCTCTTTATATGTTGAAGATGTTAATAGTTTTTAGGCTTCACTGTTTTTTTTTTTTTTTTTACCTTTTAAATGATTTGTAATGCATAGAACTTAATTTTATGCAGTCATATTTATCTGTAGCTGTTGTAAAATGTAATTTTTTATTATTTACATCTTAGACTTTCCCTAAATTTTCTTCTATATTTGGATTCTTTCACTTAAAAAATGTAAACTTCAGTCTTTCTGGAATTTATTAAATGTGCATCGAGGACCCAAAGGAGGAATTTCCTAACCAGGAAACTTCTCAGTGCGTTGACGGAGCTGTAGGTGGTGGTGTGTGCAGCGTGGTGGGGTCGGACTGCCTGGTCTGGGTCCTGGCTGTGCCGTTTCCGGCAGTGTAACTTTACCCCATCTGATCCCATTTCCGTATTTCAAAAATAACTTTCAAAAACAATAGCAAAGCGTTGTTAGGTTCAAATGAGATTCTGCCTCTGAAGTCCTTGTTCTTTAATTTTAGGATTTATAATGCCAAGCACAGGGTAAAACACTTATTGTTAACTGTCAATATTTCCATGATAATTATTCTTTTGTGTAACTACAGGGGCTTATTTCCTGGAGTTATAAAACCTCACATTTGGAAGGGCCTAAGAGATGATCTGGATTCAGTAGATAATTTCTGCTAGTATTATGTCTTAGACCTGACTGCACATCAGTCTCCTGGAGGAGCTCTGAAAAGCCCCAGGTTGCAGGCCTCACTACTACTAACTCAGACTCTCTGGGCTGTGTGGCCTAGTCATTTGTAATTTTGATGGACTTTCTGTGTGACTGTTATGCATTTGACTGACATCAGTAGGAGGTTGTCCAGCTTCTGCTTAAAAACTTGCCATGTTGTAATATTTGTGGAATAACAGATTAGATGAGCTAATAAGAAGTAATTGTTTCTTGTCTTCCCAGTATAGTATGTAAATACATGAGGATAGGTTTTGCCGTTTCCTCGTGGATCAGTTAGTATTATAGTTTTTAGATGTGAAAGGTATGTATTTATTTCTTGTATATCACTAACACTGCCAAACATTCTTACTTAGTTCTGATGGAATATGAGATATTCTTTTTTTAATTTAGTTTTTAATGAAGTTATTCTGAAATAATTTTCTAATATATTTTTATTTTTAGAGCTTTTTGACAACTACATGCAGCAAGATGCCCATGAATTCTTAAATTACCTACTAAATACAATTGCTGATATTTTACAAGAAGAGCGAAAGCAGGAAAAACAAAATGGCCGCTTACCTAATGGTAACATTGACAGTGAGAATAACAACAGCACACCAGACCCAACTTGGGTTCATGAGATTTTTCAGGGAACATTAACTAATGAAACCAGATGTCTTACTTGTGAAACTGTAAGTATATCATAACATTTTGTATGTAAGAAACTTAATTCATTATCGTAAAAGTTCTTTTGAGGATAAGTATGAGATAAAGTTGAAAGTTGTAATTCTTAGATTTAGGATAATATTAAAGATACACTTGTCTGTTGAAAGGAATCTCTCTGCACTTTTTCATAATGCTACTTCTGTGACTACCTGAGGTGACACAAAAATACTTATTGCAGTTTGAGCTGTTTAATTTTGTTTCAACTTAGGAGCCTATAGAGAGAGCCATGTTCTAGAAATTGTCTTAGTTAAGCTCATCAGAAACTTACAGGTCAGGGAGGTATATTTGTTTTCACTTTCCCACAATTATGTTTATTGTTTATGATTGGAATGAAAACTAAAGCATACTGTGTACACTCAAAGAGGGGAAAATGCCCACTTACTGGATACAGTGTCCTCCCTTATCCATGGGGGATGCGTTCCAGGATGCCCAGTAGATGCCCGAAACCTCAGATAGTAAGCACCAAACCCTATATGTGCTGTGTTTTTTCCTATACATACACATGATAAACTTTAATTTATAAATTAAGCAAAGTAAGAGATTAAGAACAACTAATAAAATACAAATATAAGTATATTTATTTATAATCAAATATAAATATAAAAAATAAATACAAAAGAATAATAGAACAATTATAACTATACTGTAATAAGAGTTATGTCAGTGTGGTTTCTCAAATATCTTAATTGTACTGTACTCACCTCACTTAAAGGAAGCACTTTACGGCTTCTCTTTGGAGTACCCGAATTGCCAGCATCACTACTCCTGTGCTTTGGGGCCCCTACTAAGTAAAATAGGGTGGCTTGAACACAAGCACTGTGATATGGTGACAGTTGATCTGATAACTGAGATGGCTACTAAGTGACCTAAGGGGTGGGGAGTGTGTGCAGTGTGGAAACACTGGATACAGGGAGGATTCATGTCCTGGACGGGATGGAGTGGGACAGTATGAGATTTCATCACACAACTCAGAATGGCGCATAATTTAAAACTTATGAATTGTTTATTTCTGGAATTTTCCATGCGATATTTTTGGACTGTGATTGACTGTGGGTAACTGAAACCATGGAAAGCAAAACCCATGGATAAGGGAGACTACTGTACTTTGTAAAGATGTGGGAAATAGGGAAGAAGCTTGAAAATTGATTACACATAGGATCAGATAAACCAGCACTCCTGGTTATAGTCTTACCTTGTTACCTAATGTATCTCACTTGAATGAAAGATCAAACTCTTACTGAAGCATCCATTATCCAATTTTGACAGTTGAGCCAGTAATATGTCCTTTGTAGCATTTCCTCCCCTTCAGTACAGAATCCAGTTTAGAATTGGGCGTTGCATATACTTACAGTTTTTTCTTTAGCCTTCTTTAATCTGGAACATTTTTGTAGTCTTTTTGTCTTTTATGACATTTACAAGGTTCATTGGGAAAGGGAGTTCAGAGCAAGGAAAGCAAAAGAAATGTTTTATGGATGTTTGGAAGAATAACAGTGCACTTGGTTGACTAAATCAGATAAACTTACACTGGCAGAGACTAATAAGGATCTGTCTTTTCTTTTCTAAAATAGACATCAGAAAAATTGAATGGAACACACAGAAAGTTCCCAAACACCTCCTCCCCTCTGCTTTCTCCTATTATTAATGTACTGCATTAGTGAGGTACATTTGTTGCAATTGATGAGCCAACATTGATACATTATTAACTAAAATCCATAGTTTACATTAAGGTTCACTCTTGGTGGTGTGTGTTCTGTGGTTCTGTTTGTTTGGACAAATGTGTAATAGCATTACAGTATCACACAGAGTGAGGAGTTCACTGTCCTAAGAGGACTCATCCCTCCCTCCCGCTGGCAGCCACTCATCTTTTTACTGTCTCCATAGTTTTGCCTTTCCCAGAATGTCATATAGTTGGAGTCATAGAGTACTCAGCCTTTTCAAATTGGCTTCTTTCACTTAGCAATATGCACTTACGGTATTTAATGTCTTTTCATAGTTTGCTAGCTCATTTCTTTTTATAGCTGAATTATATTTCATTGTATGGATACACCACAGTTTAGCCATTTATTTACTTACTGAATGACATCTAGGTTGCCTCCAAGTTTTGATCATTATGAATAAAGCTGCTATAAACACCCAAGGCAAGTTTTTGTATAAACATAACCTTTCGACCCTTTTGGGTAAATACCCAGGAAAGCAATTGCTGGATCATATGGTAAGAGTATGTTTATTTCTGTAAGAAACCCGCCAAACTGTTTTCCAAAGTGGCCATATCATTTTGTATTCCTACCAGCAGTGAATGAGAGTTTCTATTGCTCCACATCTTTGTCAGCATTTGGTGTTGACAGCATTTTGGATTTTAGCCATTCTAACAGGTGTGTAGTATATATATGTCTTTGTTTTAACTTGCAGTTCTCTAATGACGTATATGTGAAGCATCTTTTCATGTGCTTATTTGCCATCTGTGTATCTTCTTTGGTGAGGTGTCTGTACAGGTGGTTTTCCTGTTGTTGAGTTTTAAGAGTTCTTTGTATATTTTGGATACTACTCTTTTTTTGGATATGTCTTTTGCAAATATTTCTTCCCAATCTGTGGTCTGACTTCTCATTCTCTTAACAGTGTCTTTGAAAGATCAGAAGTTTTTAATGTTTTAATTTTAAGATTTAATTTTAGTAAAGTCCAAGTTTTTGCTTCGTAGAAATGCTGTTACTGTTCTTTTCTTTTCTTTTATTTTATTTTTTTATAGCTTTACTGCTAGTTCCAGCCCCCTCCTTTTTTTCCCCTCCCAGTTCTAGGCCTAAGGAAGTACAATATAAGGGGAGGGGAAGACAGGGACCCAAATCAATCTGGATTAAATCCTATATTGGCTCTTCAATTACTGTACGACTTTGGGTCATACAGTTAGGGAATCATTATTTCCTCATTTGTAGTGTTGCTGATAGCTGGAGTTATTGTGAAGATTGAATGAGAACATGTAAGCATAGGGCATACTCATAGTAGGCACTCAGAAAATGTTCCCACTTCTTCCTAAAGCAAGATGACCATATTCAACCTCAGGGCAAGCAAAAACAAACAAAACTGAAAAAGAAGCTGACTCAAAGTAATCACAAACTAAAGCAGTTCCCTGGTATCAAACATAAGATAATAATACTGCCCTAAGCCGTCACTTCCTAATCTGTCTTTTTGAATCTGTTTGCCAAGCAACCTGCTATCTGATACCACACAGAGGTACAGAGCTAGGATACAGGGCTTAAAAGTACCCTTTCCTCTGCAACTCAAAGATCCTTAGGGTAAGTCCTTGACAAAGGCACTAAGGGAACAAATAGTGACTGTGAGCCAAAAATTAATGACTATTATGGAGTGTCTAATGTAGAAATAGGTATTCTTGGACAAAGACCATCAGTTGTTCACCACACCCAAACTCACCTGGACGGTGTCATCTTTGAAAATAAAGTACATGTTGTGTGTGTGTGTGTGTGTGTGTGTGTGTGTGTGTGTGTGTGTGTATGTGTGTTTGTGTATGTGTGTGTTCCCAACGATTATACAGTGTTTAATAATGGAGAGCCATATGGATACTTAATTATAAATGTGTGGGACCCCCAAAATACAGGTCAGTGTTACCTTTAAATATGTTACATAAAATATATACACTCTGAAGGAACAAAAGTTCAAGTTGATGACTGAATTTATAATTTATGAAACACTTCCATCGAAGAGTATAACAGAAACATCGCACACGTGTGCACACACAGTCATATTACTTATAGCTCTACCTGAAAGAGAGGTACAAGAATGCAAATAGTTAAGTGTCTATAAGGAATCAGTAATCTTTTCCCTTAAATATTATTACAACAATGCAGAAGACAACTTCAGAGAGGAAGGAGACTCTTCTTAGGAGGATTGAGCTCCTAAAATTTGGATCCATGTTTACTAGTCATTAATTACAGGAAGTTCAGTTAACACAAATCTCTATTTAAAATTTTCAATATTTTCCTATAAAAAACTATTATTTTTTTAACGTTTACCGCTTCACTGATCTTAATTCAGCAATTTTTTACTCTCTCCTCTCACCTTTCCATTCATACCCACTATTTTTTTAGATTTATACAATTTAACTCATGTAAACTGATGGGGGGGAGGGGTTGGGGAGACAGTCACTGAGTAGGTTTGTTCTCAAGATTTTTCAGAAATAGTTGGACTTCTGTCATTTATTTTCATTTACTCTTCCCCAGTACTTTATTTTATTTATTTTAATTTTATTTTTTTAATGAAAAGTTATATTTCAAATATCTTTTTTTTTTCTCTCTCTCTTTTTTTTTTTATTGTTAGTTTCAGGTGTACAGAACAATACAATAGTTACCCTTTTTCACCCTCACCAGGTAACAACACCCCTCCCCCCATCTATTGCCCTCCCACCCCCGATATCATGCTTATCTATTACAATTCCATTGAATCCGTTCCCGCTCTCTACTCCATGTCCCGAGACT